ACTTTTCCTATACATTCCCAAGTCCGATTAACCCGAATAATTTGTAATACATTTAAATCAAAAAACAAAAAAACGTAAGGAACTTGTTTGACAAGATTTGAATTCCTTTTTCAACAATTGATTTTGAGGATTTGAAGTATATTTGATCAAATTCTCCAATGGGTTCTGACAGGACCCGCTCCAAATTTCCCGGAACCCGAGACGAACCCTGCGGAGACTCCGGCATCACACCCACGCCGGGTTCACTCCTTAAATCTATGTCCTTGTTTACCAGAGAGGATTAAGGGCACGAGACTTTCTGCCGAAATTTCGGCAGAGTCTCCCCTGTAAATTTAACATTTCCCAAAATTTCCACCTGCATAAAACACATTTTATAACCCAACCGGCAGCACGCATAATATAATCTCATGCAATTTACACAAATGGCCTCCGGCCTTCAAATGATTCTAGCAGAACTGCCCACCATGTTGTTAAAATAACTTAATGCATCAAACATGCATATAACAAATTAAAAATCTAGTTATGCACCCCTTCACTCACTCAGTCCACAGGACAAGCCTCAATTCAACCAAGTTTCGGGACCAACAACGAGGTTCGAACCAATCTCAATAAGACCACCTAAGTGGGGTCTAATCTGTGGCTGCACCTAGTAACTTCAGGCTGCCTACGTATCCTACTAAGGGATCAAGCCACACGTAGCTCTTTCGTATCCATCTTGGCTCCTAATATCAAATAAACCATTACTACCATACAATTTCATACATTCTAGTATTTATCCATCACAACACACCAAACACAATCACATAGCTCCCCTTATACGACGCGACGCACCCGGCCTCGTATGGGGTCTGTCAACACGCCGGCTAATCCAAAGACGCGTGCGACCTCAACACTTTGCCTGGCTACATTCTCACCAGCCTGCACACAATCACATCTCCCCTCATACGTCGGGACGCACCCGACCACGTATTGGGTCTGTCAACACGCCGGCTAATCCAAAGACGCGTGCGACCTCAACACTGGGCTTGGCTACATTCTCACCAGCCCGCACACAATCACATATCCCCTCATACGTCAGGAAGCGCCCGGCCACGTATGAGGTCTGTCAACACGCCGGCTAATCCAAAGACGCGTGCGCCCTCAACACTGGGCCTGACTACATTCTCACCAGCCTGGACACAATCACAGCTCCCCTCATACGTCGGGGCGCGCCCGGCCACGTATGGGGTCTGGCAGCCCGCCGGCTAATCCAAAGCCGCGTGCGACCTCAACACTGGGCCTGGCTACATTCTCACCATCCCGCATACTGTTCACTTTGGGCCTGGCTACATTCTCACCAGCCATCATACTGTTCACTTTGGGCTTGGCTACATTCTCACCAACCATCATACTGCTCACTTTGGGCCTGGCTACATTCTCACTAGCCATCATACTGTTCACTTTGGGCCTGGCTACATTCTCACCAGCCATCATACTGTTCACTTTGGGTCTGGCTACATTCTCACCAGCCGCACGGGTTTAAAGGCCTCAACATAATCACAATATGGGGGGGTACGTGGGGTAGTGCGTATAGCACTGTAAACTAGCATTCGATCCCTTTTTATACCTTTATACATCCACACAATTAAATATATAATATATAATTTCTAATCTTATATAAACCTTAACCAATAAAGCATTCCATAAACTCCCGCATTTAAATTCATCAATTTATATCATAAACCCACAATATCCCTTTAACTCAACAACGCTCAAGACCTGTCACTAGGGTCATTATAACCCTTAAAGAAAGGTAAGATTATCTCGGAAGTCTCACGGTCAACCTAGGGTCAAACGGGCCCGTGGGGCCCACAACCTCCAAATTTCGATCTGACAGTTCCTATAGGTTTTACAAGGTGTAGGACACACGTCCTGCAAGTTTGGTCTAGATCGGACGATCGGATTGCTCACGATCGCACGATCGAATGGTCACTAAAACCCTAACCCTAGGGTTGGCATTTCCGGAGTATCCGGGACTCCATTTTACGATCCGTCGAATCCTATACGATCCTGGTAATACCTAGATCAACATATTATAGCTTCAAGACCATCCAACGGTCCAAACCTAGCGCACCCAGAAAATATGCGATATGGGATATCTGTTCGGGACTCTAACGGTACCCAAAATGAAATCCGAGCACACCTATGCGCTCGTGACATCGAGAGGATCACAGTGGGACAAAAATGCCCCTCAACTACAATGCCCACGCGCCGCCACACGCGCCGGCAGCGCGTGGGGGCTCAAAGCGGAGCCCACCCCCGCACAACCGCCAACTAAC